CCATGACTCCCAATGTCCCCCATCCCCACTGACCTTGTCACTGTCCCCCTGTCCTGGGGTCCCTCTGTCCCCGGGGCTCCCCTGAGCCCCCCAGGCCCCCAGGCCGGGCAGGGCGGGTTTGGGTCTCTGAGGCCCTCAGGGGCAGCAGGTGGGGCAGCAGGAGGGCCGAGCCGGGGCCTCGGGGCTCCTCCCCCCAGTGGGGAGGCGGCCTTGGAGTGGCTCAGGATCTGCAGCACAAATTTGGGGGAGGGTGTCACATTTTGGGGTCCCAACCCCTCCTGGGGGGCCTGACCCATTTTTGGGGGTTCTGTCCCCCCAACCCTCTCCCAGGTATCCCCCCATTTTTGGGGTCCCCAATGTCATCCCTCCCCACTCTGGGGATCCTCCCCTCGTGTTCCCCTTTGGGGTCCCCCCCACTGCCTCCCCACACTTTGGGGTCCCCTGTCCCCCCCACCCTGGGGTGACCCCAATGTCCCCTCCCTCTCCACCTTGGGGTCACCCTGTCCCCCTTAAGTCCCCTCCCCCACTCTGGGGTCCCCAACGTGTTCCCTCCCCCCACTTTAGGGGTGTCTCCCTAACCCCTCCCCAACCTTGGGGTCTCCCCATCACTTTTGGGGTTCCTCTGAGCCTCTCCCCTCCCTAAATTTGGGGTCTCCCTCCCCAATTTTGGGGTCTCCTCACTTTGGGGTCCCCCCTGCCCTCCCCTCACCCAATTTTGGGGTCTCCTCCTCACTTTTAGGGTCCCCCTGAGCACCCCCCCCAACTATGGGGTTCCTGCCCTCCTCTCCAATTTTGGGGTCCCCTGCCCCCCTCCCTCCCCAATTTTGGGGTCTCCCCCACTTTGGGGTCCCCTGCCCCCTCCCTCCCCAATTTTGGGGTCTCCCCACTTTTGGGGTCCCCGAGCCCCCCTCCCTCCCCACTTTGGGGTCTCCCCTCACTTTTGGGGTCCCCCTAAGCCCACTCCTCCACTCCCCCAATTTTGGGCTCTCTCCCCCAATTTTGGGCTCTCTCCCCAATTTTGGGCTCTCTCCCCAATTTTGGGGTCTCCTCCAACTTTGGGGTCTCCCTTCACTTTGGGGTCCCCCTGAGCCCCCCTCCCTAACTTTGGGGTCCCCCTGCCTCCTCCTCCCCAATTTTTGGGGTCTCCTCCACAATTTTGGGGTCTCTCTCCCCAATTTTGGGGCCTCCTCACTTTTGGGGTCCCCCTGAGCCCCCTCCCTAACTTTTGGGTCCCCCTGCCCCCCTCCCTCCCCCAATTTTGGCGCTCTCCCCAATTTTGGGGTCTCCTCCCAATTTTGGGGTCTCCCCAGTTTTTGGGGTCCCCCTGTTGCTTTTTGGGGTCCCACCTGGTTGGTGGCCTGGATGAGCTCGTAGGCCTTGGCCCTGCTGGCCAGGCTGGCCTCCTCCATCTTGAACAGCAGCGTCGTCACTGGGGGACACGGCCTGTCACCCCCTGGGGCCTCCCAAAACACCCCCTGAACCCCCCAGACCCACAGAACACCCCCAGAACCCCCAAAACACCCCCAGACCCACAGAACCCCACCTGGGCACCCCCAGACCCACAGAACCCACCTGGGCACCCCCAAAACACCCCCAGACCCACAGAACACCCCAAACCCCCACAGAACCCCCCCGGACCCACAGAACTCCCCAAAACACCCCCAAACCCACAGAACCCACCTGGGCACCCCAAAACACCCCCAGACCCACAGAACACCCCAAAACCCACAGAACACCCCTGGACCCACAGAACACCCTAAAACCCCCGGACCCACAGAACCCACCTGGGCACCCCAAAACCCCCGGACCCACAGAACACCCCCAGAATCCCCAAAACCTCCCCCGGACCCACAGAACACCCCAAAACACCCCCGGATGCACAGAACACCCCAAAACCCCTCAAAACCCACTCCAGACCCACAGAACCCCCGAAAACCACCCTGGACCCACAGAACCCACCCAGAACACCCCCGGACCCACAGAACACCCCAAAACACCCCCAGACCCACAGAACTCACCCAGAACCCCCGGACCCACAGAACACCCCTGGACCCACAGAACACCCCTAAAACCCCCGGACCCACAGAACACCCCAAAACCGCCCTGGACCCAAAGAACACCCCCAAAATACCCCTGGACCCACAGAACCCACCTGGGCACCCCCAAAACCCCCCTGGACCCACAGAACACCCCCAAACCCCCTGGACCCACAGAACACTCCTGGAATCCCCCAAAAACCCCCGACCCACAGAACACCCTAAACCCCCGGACCCACAGAACACCTCAAAACCGCCCTGGACCCAAAGAACACCCCAAAATACCCCTGGACCCACAGAACCCACTCTGGGCACCCCTAAACCCCCTGGACCCACAGAACACCCCAAAATCCCCTGGACCCACAGAACACTCCTGAATCCCCTAAAACCCCGGACCCACAGAACACCCCAAAACCCCCCAGACCCAACAGAATACCCTAAACCCCCGGACCCACAGAACCCCCCAGAACACCCCAAAACCTCCTCGACCCACAGAACCCACCCAGAACCCCCCAAAACACCCCCGGACCCACAGAACACCCCAAACACTCCCAGACCCAAAGAATCCCCCAAAACTCACTCAGAATCCCCAAAACCCCTCCAGACCCACAGAACTCACCTAAAACCCCCGGACCCACAGAACTCACCCAAAACCCCCCGGACCCAAAGAACACCCTACCAAACCCCTCAGACCCCCCTAGAACTCCCTCTGAATTCCCAAACTCCCCAGAACTCCCAACCCCCACCCCTAGAATCCCCCAGACCCCCAAAAACCCACCCTGGCACCCCCAAAACACCCCCAAACCCCTAAACACCACCCCAGACCCCCAAACCCCCAAGACCCCTAAACCCACCTTGGAACTCCCAAACACCCCCAAACCCCTAAAACACTCCCAGACCCCCTAAAGCCCCCAAGACCCACCCCCGGCACCCCCAAAACCCCTAAACACCCCCAGAACCCCTTTGGAATCCCCCAGACCCCAAAACCTCCCCAGACCCCCCCAAAATCCCACCCCAAAGTGTCCCCAAATGCCACCATGACCCCCTTGGGGGCACAGCTCACCCCCTGGGGCCTCCAGTACTCCCAATCCCCCAAAGTGTCCCCAAACACCTCCTGGATGACCCCAAGCCCCCGAGTGTCCCCAGGTGCCACCCACGCACACAGAAACCCCCCAAATTTGTCCCCAAGTGCCACCCAGTGCCAGGACCCCGCTGGTGGCCCCCCTGCAGGCCCCAGTACCCCCCAGACCCCCAAAGTGTCCCCAAGTGCCACCCACGTGCCAAGAACCCCCAAATTTGTCCCCAAGTGCCACCCACGTGCCAGGACCCCCAAATTTGTCCCTAAGTGCCACCCACGTGCCAGGACCCTCCCATTGTCCCCAAGTGCCACCCACGTGCCAAGAACCCCCAAATTTGTCCCCAGGTGCCACCCACGTGCCAAGAACCCCCAAATTTGTCCCCAGGTGCCACCCACGTGCCAAGAACCCCCAAATTTGTCCCCAGGTGCCACCCACGTGCCAAGAACCCCCAAATTTGTCCCCAGGTGCCACCCACGTGCCAAGAACCCCCAAATTTGTCCCCAGGTGCCACCCACGTGCCAAGAACCCCCCAAATTTGTCCCCCAAGTGCCACCCACGTGCCAGGACTCCCCCAAAGTGTCCCCAAGTGCCACCCACGTGCCAGACCCCCCAAGTGTCCTCAAGTGCCACCCACGTGCCAGGACCCCCCAAATTTGTCCCCAAGTGCCACCTATGTGCCAGGACCCCACTGGTGACCCCCCTACGGGCCCCATTACCCCCCCCCAAAGTGTCCCCAAGTGCCACCCAGTGCCAGGACCCTCCCAAATTTGTCCCCAAGTGCCACCCACGTGCCAGGACCCCCCAAAGTGTCCCCTAAGTGCCACCTACGTGCCAGGGCCCTGCTGGTGACCCCCTGCAGGCCCCAGTACCCCCAGACTCCCCAAATTTGTCCCTAGAGTGCCACCCACGTGCCAGGACCCCACAGGTGGCCCCTGCAGGCCCCTGTACCCCCCAGACCCCCAGAGTGTCCCCAAGTGCCACCCACGTGCCAAGAACTCCCCCAAATTTGTCCCCAAGTGCCACCCACGTGCCAGGACCCCCCAAAAGTGTCCCTAGTGCCACCCACGTGCCAGGACCCTCCCCCCATTGTCCCCAAGTGCCACCCAAGTGCCAGGAACCCCCCAGAGTGTCCCCAAGTGCCACCCATGTGCCAGAAACCCCCAAATTTGTCCCCAAGTGCCACCCACGTGCCAGGACCCCCCAAAGTGTCCCCAAGTGCACCCACGTGCCAAAAACCCCCCATATTTGTCCCCAAGTGCCACCCACGTGCCAGGACCCCCCCCCAAACTGTCCCCAAGTGCCACCTACGTGCCAGAAACCCCCCAAATTTGTCCCCAAGTGCCACCCACGTGCCAGGACCCCCAAAATTTGTCCCCAGGTGCCACCCACGTGCCAGGACCCCCAAAGTGTCCCCAAGTGCCACCCACATGCCAAAACCCCCATATTTGTCCCCAAGTGCCACCTACGTGCCAGGACCCTCCCCCAAAGGGTCCCCAAGTGCCACCCACGTGCCAGGACCCCCCATTGTCCCCAAGTGCCACCCACGTGCCAGGACCCCCCTATTGTCCCCAAGTGCCACCCACGTGCCAGGACCCCACTGGTGGCACAACCCATACCCCAGACCCCCCAAAGTGTCCCCAAACACCTCCTGGAGGACCCCAAAATCCCCCAGACCCCCCCATTGTCCCCAAGTGCCACCTACGTGCCAGGACCCCCCAAAGTGTCCCCAAGTGCCACCCACGTGCCAAGAACTCCCCAAATTTGTCCCCAGGTGCCACCTACGTGCCAGGACTCCCCATTGTCCCCAAGTGCCACCTACGTGCCAGGACCCCGCTGGTGGCACAACCCACGCCCCCAGACCCCCAAAGTGTCCCCAGGTGCCACCTCACGTGCCAGGACGCCGCTGGTGGCGCAGTCGACGCCCCTGGAGCTCCACGGCGTGGGGTGGTGGTGGTGGTGGGCGGGGGCGCTCCGCGGGGGCGGTCCCGGGTCTCCCCGTGCCCGTCCCCGTCCCCGTGCCCGTGCTGGTGGCGTCGTCCTTGCCCTGGCAGCGACTGTCAGCCTCGGGGCTCTCCCGGCGCCCCCAGCCCGGCCTGGGGTCCCCGCCATCCCAGAGCCCCTGGCCCGGGGGGGGCGCGGGGGGGTCGTTGGCGGCGCCCCCCTCCTCGGGCAGGAAGGACACGTCGGGGGTCTTGCAGCTGCTGTCGACGGTCTGCGAGTCGGGGGTCACCTCCCGCTCGGGGCTCCGTCGCCACCCCGCCCCCGACCTGGGGGCTTTGGGAGGGGGCACCTCTCCGGGAGCGGCGGGGGGCTGGGCGGTTTGGGGTGCCCCCGATTTCTCGGAGCCCGACCAGGGGCTCCACCTCGGGCCGCCCGTGGAGGGGGTCTCCCGGCGCCGAGGGGGGCGCGGGCAGCGGGGGGGGGGACAGCGAGGAGCGGGGGGTGGCGCAGCTGTCGGCCTTGGACTTCTTGAGGGTGCCCTTGACCCCCTTGGCCTTCCTCTTCTTGCGCCCCTCGCCCTTGGCCTTGCTGCCCTTGGGGGGCTTCTTGGTGCCCCCCTTGCCCTTGGGGGGCTTGGCCTTGCGGCTCTTGGAGGGGGGGGCGGCCGCGCCGCCGTCCCTGTCCCCTCCCCGGGGGGCGGCGTCGCCCTTGGGGAGCCCCCCGGCCTTGGGGAGCCCCCCGGCCTTGAGGAAGGGCGCTCTGCTCTCGGCGTCGCGGGCGAACTTGACGGCGATGCCGGCGATGGCTCCTCCTCCTCCTCCTCCTCCTCCTCCTCCCGCCGCTGTCACCCCCGCTGCCCCCTCCTTGGCGGGCGCCGTGGTGGAGGTGACGCCCTCTCGGATCAGCACCGACACCTTCGACTGCAGCTTCACCTTCCGCGCGGGGGCCGCGCTGGTGGTGCTGGGGGTGGCGTTGGTGGCACCCTTGGGTGCCCCCGTCCCCGTCCCCGCCACCGCCGCCTCCTTGCGCTGGTCCCCGCTGCCGTCACCGCCTTGGCTTTGCGGGCGCCCTTCTCCCGCGCCGCCTTCTCCTTGGATTTGCCGCCGTCCGACGACGACGACAGCGCCGTCATCGCCACCTCCTCGGGGTACTCCTTGAACTTCTTCTTGTGCTTGTCCCTGCTGGCCGCTCTGTCCTCGGCGCGGCCGCGTTTGCGCTCCTTGTCCCTGCGCTCGCCGCCGCTCCCGGTGCCGCTCCCGGTGCCCACCCTGGCGCAGCCCCCCTTGCGGGCGGGGGGCTCTGCGGGCTCTCGGTCGGAGGAGAAGCCCTCGAAGCTGAGCCCCTCGGAGTCGTAGAGCACCTCCCGGCGGGGCTCGGGGGAGCCGCCGGAGCGCCGGCTCACCGTGATGGTCCTCTTGATGGCGAACAGCGCCGAGTCGCTCAGCTCCTGCACCGACGGCGGCACCACCGCGCGGGGCTCCCTGCGCCGGACCGACGGCATCGCCGTCACCGTCGTGGTGGTCGTGGTCGTTGTCGTGGCTTTGTCCCCCTTGGAGTCGCGCCGGGAGCCGCGGCGCTCCCGCGACCGCGAGCGCTGCTGCTGCTTCTTCTTCTTCTTCTCCCCGCGGCGCCGCTCGCGCTCCCGGCCCTCTCCTGCTCCCCTGTCCTTGTCCCGGTCCTTGTCCTTGTCCTTGCGGCCCCGCGAGCGGCCCGAGCCGCTGCCCGACGAGCGCCGGCCCCGCCGCTTCTCCCGCGACCGCGAACGCCGCGACCACGAGCGGCGGGAGCGGCGGGAGCGGGAGCGGGACCCGAGCCCGAGCCCGCCGGGCGGCGCCCGCCGCGCTCCTTGCCCTTCGAGGATGATGACGACGATGAAGGCAGCGGGGCCGGGGGAGGAGGCGGCGGCTCGGGGGGCTTCTTGGACGACCCCCACGACGAGGAGGAGCGGCCGCCGCGGGCGCTGCGGTCGCGGTGGTCGCGCTTGGGCTTCTTGCGGGCCGGGGCCGAGGGCGAGCGCGGCGAGGGCGGCGAGGGGGGAGCCCGGAGGCGCCGCTGGCTCAGGATCTTGCGCCGCAGGTCCGAGGGGACGACGACAGGGGGGCCGCCCGCGAGGATTCCGCTCGTCCCGCTCTTCCAGCGCGGGTCCGGCTGCGCCTCGGCCCCAAAATCGGCCTCCTCGTCCGAGTCGGCGTGCAGGGACAAGAAGTCGTCGCCGCCCTCGGGCAGGCGCGGCGGGCGCGGCTCCGGGGCTCGCCCGCGGGCGATGCCACCGACGCCGATGCCACCAACGCCGATGCCACCAACGGCGATGCCACCAACGCTGCCGCCACCACCCCCGGCGATGCCACCCCCGGCGCCGGCGGCGCTCCCGGAGCCGCGGAAGAGCCGCAGGGGACTGAAGGGCCGCTCCTCCTCGGCCGGCACGATCTCGCCCTCCTCCACCTCCGAGGCGTCCCCGGCGCGCTCCACTCGCGGCCGCGCCCGGGGCCGCCCCGGACGATGCCGACGCTGCCGCTTTGGGGGTCCCGCCGGGGTCCCGCGGGGCTGGGGGTGGGCGCCGCTGGGGTGGGGCGGGTTTGGGGTTGCCCGGGTCACCACCTCGAGGGACACTTTGCCGTCCAGCCTGGGGGTCGCTGCCCCCCCTCCTGTGCCCCCAGCCCCACCGAGGGTGGTCTCGCCGCCGGCGCGGCCCGAGCCCCCCAGCCCCACCACGAACACGCGGCGCCGCGGCTCCGACGAGCCTTCCTCTTCATCCTCCTCCTCCTCCTCCTCATCTTCATCCTCCTCTTCATCTTCTTCCTCCTCCTCCTCCTCCTCCTCGTCCTCCTCGTCGTCGCCGGGCAGGGTGGAGTCGGCGCCGGGCGGGTTGGGGGGCGTTTTGGGGGGCTCGGGGTCCTTCTCGCAGTCCTGGCTCAGGCTGTTGTCGTCGTAGATGCCGGCCAAGGTCTGCGAGATGCGGCTGATGCTCTGCGACACGTCCGGCAGCGCCCGCGCCTCCCCTTCCTCCTCCTCCTCCTCCTCATCATCCTCCTCATCTTCATCCTCTTCATCCTCCTCCTCCTCCTCCTCGGCGGGGCTGGGGCTGCTGCGGGACGAGCTGGGGTTGGAGCCGGTGGGGTCGAAGGGGTCGTACTTCTGGTCCTGCCGCCCTTCGGCCTCCTTGGGCGGCGCCGCCGACGAGGAGGAGGAGGAGGAAGAGGAGGAGGAGGAGGAGGAGGAGGAGGAGGAGGAAGAGGAGGAGGAGCCGCCGCCCCCGCCCCCAAAACTCAACTCGGGGGCGTGGGGCGCTCCGGGGGCTCCCGCGACCCCTGACCCCCCGCGGGGTCTCCTCGTCCGTGGGGTGGAAAGGGTCATAAATATCCAGCGAGGGCGAGCGGGGCCGTGCCGAGGCCGGGGGCCCTGACGAGGAGGAGGAGGAAGAGCGGGACGAGGAGGATGATGAAGACGAGGAGGAAGAATCCGCCTTTCGGGGTGGGCGGGCGGGGGCTCTGTCCGGGCGCGTTTTGGGTCGGGGGTCGCTGCTGTTGTTGGGGTTAGTCCCCTGCCCCTCCCAGGGCGGCGCTCGGGCCCGAAGGCGCCGGGGCCGGCCCGGCGTGGGGGAGGGCGCGGCGGGGGGCGCGTGGGAGGGGCGGGGCGGGGTCCCGCCGGGGTGGGGAGGGGCAGGAGGGGGAGGAGCAGGAGGGGACAGAGCCCCCTCGGGACGCGCCAGCGCGGAGGAGCTGCCGGGGAGGTGACCTGGGGAAATTGGGGGAGGGGAGGGTCAGGAGGGGGAGAGACTCCCTGGGACCCCTCGAATTCTAGAGAGACCCCCAAAACTCTCAGACCCCCCAATCCTAGAGAGCCCCCAGAGACCCCCAAAACCCTCAGAGCCCTCACAAATCTTAGAGAGACACCAGAGACCCCCAAAACCCTCAGACCCCCAAATCCTAAAGAAACACCAAAGAACCCCGAAATCCTAGAGAGTCCCCCAAAATCCTAAAGAGACACCAGAGACCCCCAAATCCTAGAGAGCCCCCAAATCCCCCATTTCTGCCCCAAATCCCCTATTTCCACTCCAACCCCCAAACTTCCCCAGCCCCCTAAATCCCTCCTTAACCCCCCCAAATCCCCTCAATCCCTCCCAAATCCCCCCCAAACCCTAGCCCCAGTCCTCCCCAACCCCCCAAATCCCCTCAAATCCTCCCAAATCCCCCTCAATCCTACCCAAATCCCCCTACCCCCAAATCCCCCTAAACCCCCCAAATCCCCCCAATCCCCTAAATCCCCCAAACCCCCCAAATCCCCAAATCCCCTCAAATCCCCCTAACGCCCACCCAATCCCCCCAAATCCCCTCAAATCCCCCAACCCCTCAAATCCCTCTCAAATCCCCTCAAATCCCCTAAACCCCCAAATTCCCCAAATCCTCAAATCCCCCAACTCCCCAAATCCCTCCAATCCCCCTAAATCCCCCTAAACCCCCCAACCCCCCAAATCCCCTCAAATCCCCCAAATCCCCCTAAACCCTAGCCCCCAAATCCCCTCAATCCCCCCAAATCCCTCTCCAATCCCCCAAATCCCCCTAATCCCCCAAATCCCCCAAATCCCCTCCAAATCCCTCTCCAATCCCCCAAATCCCCCTAAATCCCCCAACCCCCCAAATCCCCCAAATCTCCTCAACCCCCTAATCCCCCCAAATCCCCTCAACCCCCCCAAATCCCCAAACCTCCCCCAATCCCCAAATCCCCTAACCCCCAAATCCCTCCAATCCCCAAATCCCCTAAACCCCCAAATCCCCCAAATCCCTCAGTCCTCCCAAATCCCTCAAATCCTCCTCAAATCCCCAAATCCCCCTCAAATCCCCTCAAGTCCCCTCAACCCCCCCAAATCCTCAATCCTCCCAAATCCCCTAAACCCCCAACCCCCCAAATCCCCAACCCCTCCCCAGCCTCCCAGATGCCCCCACCTCGCTTTGGGGTCCTCCAGGGGTCCCTGCGCAGGAGCCCCGAGGCGGCCGCGACGCCCCCGAGGTCGCCCACCCGAACCTCGGCCACCACCTCCAGCTCCTCCTCCTCGGGAGACCCCTCCCCACTGCGGGGGGGGCACGGGGGGGGTCAGGAACCCCCAAAACGGGATTCAGGACCCCCAAAACCTCAAAAATGAACCCCAAAATCCCCCAAATTGACCCCAAAACCCCAAAAGAGACCCCAAACAGAGTCAGGGACCCCCAAAGCAGACCCCTCCCCACTGCGGGGGGGGCACGGGGGGGGTCAGGAACCCCAAAAATGGGATTCAGGACCCCCAAAAACCCCAAAAGGGACCCCAAAACCCCAAATAGGAACCCCAAACCCCCGAAAAGGGACCCAGGAACCCCCCAAACCCCAAAATGGACCCAGGGACCCCCAAAGCAGACTCCTCCCTGCTGCAGGGGCACGAGGGGGTCAGGAACCCCAAAAATGGGAATCAGGACCCCCAAAAACCCCAAAAAGGACCCCAAAAACCCCCCAAATGGACCCCAAAACCACAAAAAGGGACCCAGGGACCCCTGAAACCCCAAAATGGACCCAGGGACCCCCAAACAGACCCCTCCCCACTGCGGGGGGGGGCACGGGGGGGGTCAGGAACCCCAAAAATGGGATTCAGGACCCCCAAAAACCCCAAAAATGAACTCAGGAACCCCCCAAACCCCAAAAATGAACTCAAGAACCCCAAAACCACCAAAAGGACCCCCAAACAGACCCAGGGACCCCCAGAGCAGACCCCTCCCCACTGCAGGGGGGGCTTGGGGGGGGTCAGGAACCCCCAAAACGGGATTCAGGACCCCCAAAACCCCAAGGGGACCCCAAAAAGGGACCCCAAAAACCACCAAAAGGACCCCAAAACCCCCCAAAACAGAGCCAGGGACCCCCAAAGCAGACCCCTCCCCACTGCGGGGGGGGCACGGGGGGGGTCAGGAACCCCCAAAATGGGATTCAGGACCCCCAAAAACCCCAAAAGGGACCCCCAAAACCCCCAAAAATGAACTCGGGAACCCCCAAAACCCCATTTTTGGGGTCCCCCCCAATTTTAGGGTCACCCCCCTTATTTCAGACTCCCCTCCCCCATTTTCAGGGTCCCCTCCCCCATTTTTGGGGTCCCCCTTCTCCCATTTTCAGGGTCCCCTCCCCCATTTTTGGGATCCCCCCCAATTTGGGGTCCCCTCCCCCATTTTTAGGGTCCCCCCCTAAATTCGGGGTCCCCCTCATTTCAGACTCCCCTCCCCATTTTCAGGGTCCCCTCCCCCCATTTTTGGGATCCCCCAAATCTGGGTCCCCCTAATTTCAGACTCCCCTCCCCATTTTGAGATCCCCTCCCCATTTTGGGGTCCCTCCCCCATTTTTGGGATTCCCCTCCAAATTCAGGGGTCCTCCCTCATTTCAGACTCCCCCATTTTTGGGGTCCCCTCCCCATTTTTGAGTCCCCCAATTTTAGGGTCACCCCCTTATTTCAGACTCCCTCTCCCCATTTTCAGGATCCCCTCCCCATTTTTGAGATCCCTCCCCATTTTCAGGGTCCCCTCCCCATTTTTGAGATCCCCCATTTTTAGGATCGCCCCCATTTTTAGGGTCCTTCCATTTTGGGGCCCCCTCCCCATTTTAGGGTCCCTCCCCATTTTTGGGGTCCTCCCAAATTTAGGGTCCCCCTCATTTCAGACTTCCCTCCCCATTTTCAGACTCCCTCCCCATTTTTTGGGGTCCCTCCCCTAAATTTGGGGTCCCCCCATTTTCAGGGTCCCCTCCCCCATTTTCAGGGTCCCCCTCCCCAAATTTGGGATCCCCTCCCCCATTTTTGGGGTCCCCCCTCCCCAAATTTGGGGTCCCCCTCACCTTCCGTGCAGCGGCTCAGGGTCCTCTCGGCCCCGCGGCCTCCCAGACCTGGGGGAAAGATTTTTGGGAAAAACCCCAAATTTGGGTCAGGAGGGGCTGGGGGGGAGAGATCCCAACTGGGACCACCCACCCCCAGCACTGGGAGGGACTGGGAGGGACTGGGAGAGGATTGGGGGCAGTGGGAGGGACTGGGAGGGGACTTGGAAGGAACTGGGAGGGGATTGGGGGCACTGGGAGGGAGTGGGAGGGGACTGGGAGAGGATTGGGAGGGACTGGGAGGGAATTGGGGGCACTGGGAGGGGATTGGGGGCACTGGGAGGGACTGGGAGAGGATTGGGGCACTGGGAGGGATTGGGGGGCACTGGAGGGATTGGGGGCACTGGGAGGGGACTGGGGAACTGGGAGGGGACTGGGGGCACTGGGAAGGGATTGGGAGAGATTGGGAGGGACTGGGAGGGGACTGGGAGGGATTGGGAGGGATTGGGAGGGACTGGGAGGGACTGGGAGGGGACTGGGGACTGGGAGGGGATTGGGGGCACTGGGAGGGGATTGGGAGGGACTGGGAGAGACTGGGAGGGACTGGGAGAGGACTGAGGGCACTGGGATCGCCTGGGAGGGGATTGGGGGCACTGGGAGGGACTGGGAGGGCACTGGGAGGGACTGGGAGGGACTGGGAGGGATTGGGGGCACTGGGAGGGACTGGGAGGGACTGGGAGGCGATTGGGGGCACTGGGAGGGATTGGAGGACTGGGAGAGGATTGGGGGGACTGGGAGAGGATTGGGGGGACTGAGGAGAGTTGGGGGGGACTGGGAGGGATTGGGAGGACTGGGAGGGATTGAGGGGCACTGGGAGAGGACTGGGAAGGACTGGGAGAGGATTGGGGGCACTGGGAGGGGATTGCGGAGAACTGGGAGGGGACTGGGGGACACTGGGAGGCGGATTGGGTGGGACTGGGAGGGACTGGGAGGGGACTGGGAGGACTGGGAGGGATTGAGGGGCACTGGGAAGGATTGGGGGAGACTGGGAGGGGACTGGGAAGGACTGGGAGAGGATTGGGGGGCACTGGGAGGGATTGGGGGCACTGGGAGGGGACTGGGAGGGATTGGGGGGACTGGGGGCTACTGGGAGGGATTAGGGGGACTGAGAGGGACTGGGGGGCACTGGGAGGGGATTGGGGGCACTGGGAGGGGACTGGGAGGGGACTGGGAGAGACTGGGAGGGACTGGGATGGGATTGGGGGGCACTGGGATCGCCTGGGAGGGGATTGGGGGCACTGGGAGTCACTGGGAGGGACTGGGAGGGATTGGGAGGCACTGGGAGGGGACTGGGAGGGACTGGGAGAGACTGGGAGGGACTGGGATGGATTGGGAGGCACTGGGAGGGGACTGGGAGGCACTGGGAGGGACTGGGAGGGATTGGGGGCACTGGGAGGGCACTGGGAGGAGACTGGGAGGGGACTGGGAGGGGATTGGGGGGGACTGGGAGGGGACTGGGGAGCACTGGGAGGGAC